CAGGGGAGATGAGAATGAAAGCTTCAAAGCTGGTGTTTGAAGAAAATCTGATTCCTGCCATGAATGACCTTGCTAAGAGTCTGCTTAAAATTAATTTTCTCTATAAATAAGTGATTTAATGGTCTTGGATTTCTAACTGGCGCTAAGTGCTGCCCTGTGAAGGTCCTGGTGTATGAAGAAGGCTCTCCTCCTCGTTCTTGCAAAACAGTTATCTGTGTGTCTTGTCAAAGTGGGATTGGGGTGGGGCAGGACAGGACACCCTACAATGGAAGGGAGAGTATAGTTTTGAGAGTTGCTTGCCTTTTGTGTTTGTTTTGAAAATCTTGACTTTTCTTGGATATTTCCTTACCTAAAGCAAATTTTGGTATTGGACTGAGCTGATGCTCATTTGAAACTTCCCGTGGATGAGATCTGCTGTTGGACCTTGAAGCTGTTCCTGCCACTGTCCCTGGAGAGAAACTAACCAAGCTCAGTAGATTTTTTTTCTTTTTTTTTTTTTCTTCCTTGATTCTAATGGAAGCTGTCTTTCTAGCTGGGAAGAAATCTCTGTTGGGACAAGTCCCTGACCTATTTTAGAGAGTCTTGTCTCTACAGCGTGGTTGCTATTTTCTTAGAACAAGAAGCCATCTTCCATGAGCTCTTTCATTTTATTTCAACCATTTAGTTGTTTTCATTGTAAAACAACAGAATCTGAAGGAGAGGAGGCTGAAGCTCTGTATTTGGTATTTGTGTGTAAGGAATGGCAGAGGAAAATAATCTGATAACAAAAAGAAAACTTAAGTAATTTTAAAACTCCCAGCTGCTATAGTAACAGCAATACATTTGTCAGATGTTGTATTTTAATCTTTCTATTTTAAGTTCCAAGCTACTGAAGAACAGTATATCTAGGTGTGGTAGTCTTAACAGCAGCTTCAGCCCATAGCTACTTGGGTAGCCTAGGGAAGAACTGTGTAGCATCACTGTTGGAAGGACTGTTGATTAAATTTATAGAAAAAGCTTTTCCCAGATGTTGTTACGGGGCAGGAGCCCATCCTGAAGATTTGTGTTTCTCTCTGAGACATTTTTATGATGTCCTGTTGGGTATATGGCGCGTGCTCTTCTGTGTGTTAGATTGATTTGAGGTACCGTGACATTTTTCTTGGAAAGGTATATGAGCCAAAAAAACTAGAATGCAAAAGTTTTGGAGACTGGGCTTTCTGCCTAATACCAATTCCGTGTGGCTGTGCTGGTCTGTACGGCCGGGACGCTTACTGGGGAGCAGGAGTAAGATGTCCACAAAAGTGTCCCATCCCTTGTTGACACTGGCTGTAAATGAGTTGAAGCTGAAGTGATAGATGGCGAGTGGAAGAGGCTGTTTTTCTAGTTAAACATTTTAAACTGTCAGAGGAGGTGACAAATGCTTTGTACTCTTTCCTGTGGCCTTTTCCTCCAAAGCATCCGTCATGCAAGAAAGGGAGAGAAAATGTGCCCGGCGTGGATGAAGCCCTTAGCTTTTCCGTGTTCGTTTGTTTTTATTGTAAGATAAACCTTTCATGTTTTATTGTTATGAAGTTAAAGCCTGGCCTAGAGGTGCTGATCTTTAGTAGAAACAGCTGCAGCCTGAGTGTCCCCTGCTCAGGTGGGAGGCTCTTTGAAGCGACATGTTGCCTCTTTAAAAGGAAATTGAGCATGTGAGAACTTAAACCTGTAAAACTCATCAACAGCTCTGCCATTGTTTACCTCTGGTGTAACTTTAGATAGAATTAAAGTGAAACGCGTTACTTTGCTTCCAGGACAAGAGGGTTTAGCTCCCCGTTGGTCCTGGAGACACGGGAAATGACCACATAACCACAAATACTTTCTAGTGGAATGAAGAGGAGTGACAGACTAGCCACAGAAATAGGTTCTTAACCAGAGATGGGCTAAGAAATTGAATGGAGCTAAAGCTGCTGGTTTTAAATTAAAACCAATGCTTACATGTTAAAACCAAGTAGAAAAGAGCAACTGCTGTGTATGCGCTGGCTGAGGTGAGGGGGCAGATCGGAGCTTTTCTTGTGGATTGGGTGTTGCGAGCAGCAGCAGTTTTCAGCACAGACTGTAGTCTGCTGGTCAGGAAGAAAAGGAATGAACTGAACTGCCTTGAGGATGAGGGAAGCTAAGGTACTTTTTTGGCTTTATTTTTCAATACAGAAAACAAAAAGCTATTAGGTGTCAGATCTCCTCCTTTACTTCTCTGTAGTACCTTCATTACTTTAAGCAAGGCCCTGGATATCTTACAGTCATCTTTTAAAACTGATCAGTCCCTGTACTCCCCTTCCTGCTGGAACAGGGTGCAGTGATAGCCTCTAAAATTGACATTCTGCATATTCATGAAAAAGAACAAACCCCTCCCTAGAACCAGGCTTAGCACTGCTTCGGAAAAAAGCTTTCTTAGGAAAGACCAGCCTGTCTTTCAGCCAAGCTGAACCACATCTGCTTAACAGTGGTGTTGGGTATTAGTGTGGGGGAGGACCTAGGTTGTGTTTTAGGCTGATGCTGAATTGTACTTGGCAGAAATAATAAATTTTTCACCTTTTAAGTGCATCCTGTAGCTTCCCCCATGGCCAACAGGAAGCAGCATTGATGGCATCTGTGAGGAGCCCTTACAAACAGAGCTGTAATGTGAGAGGGCATCTGAGGGAGATGAAGAGAATACAAGATAATAATGGTTTCTGGAAGTGGATGGAAAGAAACCATATTTCCTTAGTGCAGACTTTTCTTAAGAAAGTGAGTAGTTTACCACCATGCTGTTAAGAAGAATGTGGGTTTGACTGGTAACATGGAAAATGTGGTGACATTAGAAACTGCCTGGGCTCTGCATGGGGATGATGCAGAATTTGTCATCTTGTAAATCACTTCTCATTGATTAGCTAAACTGTTTGGATTGGCAGAGGAGATCTTTTCTTGGACAGGAAGCACAGGACCAGTATCACTCACTGCATGACAGCCCTTCTGAACCCGACAGTTCAAACAACGCCTAGTGCTGGCTGAACGGAGAGTAGTTACCTCCAGAAAGTCCTTTTCAGACCAACAACAACAGCCCAAAACAAAAAGGCAGTGTAACTACGTATCGTAGGAAGAGACTGGCAGAGGGAGTCGGGTCAGAGGGCCAAGCAGTTGTCGGTTGGATGAATTCTTGAAGATAGTAATTATCCGTAATAGCATAAACATTCAGCGAGAGCCAACAGCAGCTGTATTATCGCAAAGGTACAGAGGGAAGGCTCTACTTGGGGAGGGGGAGTGAGGAATTAGCACAGATGAACTGCTGCTTGTAGTAATGCACGATGTCTCTTCCAGTCTGGATATAACTGCCCGGCACTGACACGGGATGAGTAGTTAGCTGTTTATACGAGATGCTCCAAGTAGTGTATCTCTTACAGTCTGAAATTCAGAAAAAGCCTGAAGCTCTGAGCAGACATCTGAGGAACTGTGACTTTCCCTTAGCTGTGCAAATGATTAGAGTGAAAACCTGACCTGCTGCAAAATCCTTGGTTTCTGAAATGTCTGGGGGAGTTATGTCAGGACCACTTGGCAGGCGGTCAAAGTTCTTCCCTGCAGTTACATGTTTTGTAAGCCTGCTCCAAAGTTGTAATGACCTGGTAAAGTAGTTACCTCTGTCACGATTGAAGCTAATGAAAATGTGGAGTAAAATCAAAAGAGTTTTCAAAAACAACTCTGATTTCCAGCTCTCAGTAAATACGTATAGTGAAGTCCTAACAGGAGAGCAAACTGGTCATCTCTGTTGTAATATTCAAGGTTTTTTTAATGAATGAAAAATGTATTTAGTTAATTTACTAGGTAGTGCAGTAAGTATTGTTTCAATAATCTGTGCCTCAATAGAGGTTACAACTACTATACTTTTTGCAAGGAAAAAGGTTTAAAGAGCAGAAGGAAACTTCAAAAAAAGAAATGTATTCCTATACGCCAAGAGGGTATAGGATTCTTTGGCATTGTTCTGGACTCAACCCACTTAGTAATGCATTCAACAGGAGCTTAATAAGGATCACATGCTTTCAGGAATATTTTTTTAAAGTCTTTTAATTAATAAAAGTCATTACACTTAATTTCTTGTATTGAAAGGAGAGAATTGAAGCCCATAATGGGATGTGTTTGCTGCAAAATAAACCTGAAACTGTTAGGTTGTTTTCTTAATGAGCATCTGCATGACTGATTTTTTTTTTCCTTTTTTAAACTTTTGTACTTCTGCAACTTATCTAAAATTCTTGTGTTTAGTGCATATAGTTAAAGGTAGAATTTACCCACTGAGCTCCAAGTTTTCACTGTTGTATTTATTGGGTTGTGAGAGGAGGTTTGCAGACTTGCCTGGCTTCTTGCAAAAAATCATAAGTGCACTTTCCAAGGAAAGCAAAAATTATTTTTAAATATGCCAGTTGAGTTCTTTAATGGTGCTGGATGAATTTTTTTCAACTGCTGCAGTTATTTCTATATATAGTATAAGGATGTGAAAAGTCATTCGTTCCGAATGTGTTTAAATATGCTCCATAATGAATGCTGTGGATGTGAAAGATAAGCAGCCTGGAGCTTTCTTTTGCAAGGTATAGGGTAACACAAAGCATCAAAGTTTTGCTGCCCTCAGGACACACATTGAAGTAGTTAAAGTAGTGAGATAAACGAAATACACTAAGATATTAATCTGCAAAATCTCAAGCTCAAGGACACAATAAGTTTTCATTTAAGTGTTTCTCATCTGCTGACAATGAGCCAAATAAATCTTAATTCCACGTTGTAGATGGTGACAGAAATTCAGTGACTTTCCCTGGGATGAGAGTCTGGTTTGTTTCCCAAATCTTTCTGATAATGTATGTTGTATATGTTGGGATTCTAATCTGAATTAGCTGCATACCGTTATTTCAGAAAACAAAAATTATTTTTTTGCAGAATTGCTGTTTAAGAATATTTTTGTTTGGTGTGCTGAAGCAACATGTAGTCCAAGTCCTCACTCGCTGCATTTCTTCTTACAGGTGCTGGGTTCGGATTAGGAATTGTTTTCTCAGTCATCTTCTTCAAAAGTAAGTCTGCTGCAGTGATCTTGACTGCTTGGTTTCCTGATCTCTGCCTGCTGTAGGTATAGTTTAAGAAATCTTTGAGGCATGTAGAACTTAATCAGCGTGTTACTTAAACAAATTCTTTCATTACTGGTCAGGTATTTTCAGTTGAAATGGAGTTACCTAAACTTGGTAACTGTTGTGTTAACAAGGTTGTTACACGTGGCATCTCCCTAAACTCCTACTGTGCTCGGCACAAATTCTGGAACTGCAGGAAACCCTGAGCCAAATGACTGGAGCCACATGTCTAGACATCAGTGTATGCCAGCCTTGCCAGGGTTTTAAGACTGATCTAAAATCTTTTTTAGTTATGCTTTGGTAACAGAATAATTTTCAGTAATATCTTGAGTTCAGAGATTGTTCTCTGTTACATTAGAAGTATGATATTGTGCTCACTATTACTTGTGTTGTTCAGCCAAGTTTAGGACTCCTAGAACTTGAAAATGCCTAATATGCATCTTCCAGTAATTTATTCTTTCTTGGTGCTTATTTACCAATGTTGTGTGAAATGAATAGCTTTTTTTGACTTTAACTTTCCTCTCTGCTTGCCTTCCCCCACAGGAAAGACATGGCCTATCGCTTTTGGGTCAGGGATGGGGTTAGGAATGGCTTATTCCAATTGTCAACATGACTTCCAGTCTCCGTATCTTCTTCATGGTAAATTTGTAAAAGTAAGTATCAGTGCTAGTTACTATTAGTTGGTAACCATTAGCAGTACATCTAGACACCATTTAAATTGATACTCCTCTGCCTTTCCTGAAGGAACACTAGTAAGAAGAAACTATGTTGCCGAAGCAGGTGATTCCCTGCTCTCTAGAAATTTTTAATATCTGGTGTGTTCAGCAGTAAAGTTACTAGACAGAACACATAGAATTAGTTCTAACAGATCCTGCAGGTAGGTTTTCTCACAACCTGAAAACACATATAATAGAAATACATCTTAGAAAAGCTGAAAAACTAAACTAATGGTAAGATTCTGTCTGCAGTCTTTGCAAGAAGTGAGCTGGGAAGAAAACAAAAGTCATGTCAGGTAGATCTGCCTGTGGAAGCAGATCTTTGCTCTTCTGTGTGTTTGTTTTGTTTGCTTTTTGCAATGTGAAAACACTAATCACTTGTAAGTTTTGTGGCTTGTTTGGCTGGATAGTAATGTGATAATTAGTCTGAAGGAATTGTACACTTTAAGTAGTTTTGAAGAGGATAATTTAAATGAGTTCAGTGTTATCTCTGGCCATGCTGAGATAAAATATTTTAAAATAGATTAATTAGCGGGAACCATTTGTGCACTTGCAAACTGCCTACAGTGCAGTAGGTCTACAAACTGGCTCCATTAATATTTTCTGTATTTCTTCACATGTAAAAGTTGGGGCCGTTCTTATGGTAATTTATCATTGTGACATCTGGAAAAAAAAGGGGGGTGTGTGCCTATGTTGGATCCACAAAGCCTTATACTGCTAAAAGCATTTCATCCACCAGGACATATTTACAGGCATTTTAGCACTTCAGAAAGTACTGAGGTAAAATGTTCTGCCAGGAGCTTTTCATGGCAAGTGCATAGAATGTAAAAATTGCTCCTGTATTGCCCATCTGCCTGATGAAGGAGGCCTGAAGGTGTTTTAGGCTTTTTCCTGCTGCCTCTAGAGCTGTAAATTGAGTCCAGTCTTCCTTAGATTTACTGACAGATGAGCTTTTGCCAGCCTTCTGCAGCCCTATCAGACATACCTGTTTACAAATATTTTCTTCAGCTGCTAAGAAAGGAAAACAATAACAAAATTCTTGAGCAAGAATTCTTCAGAATAAATACTTTGGATAGCAATATAGGTGCAGCCGATACAACATTGCCAGCTACAGCCCAGAATCAAAAGTCTGTGCATGACTCTTCTGGACAGATTTGTTAGCATTAAAACGTGTTAGCTTTCCACACCATCCTGAGGGTATTTCTCCAATTTACATCTCAAAAAAGAAGCTGGAGTGACAGTCTGTGGCTTCATGTGAATGGTAAATGCCCTGTTCACATGTTCAGAGAAAGCATTATTCATTCAAGGATGCTTCTTACTAGGGATGTTGGGCAGCAGAAAACTGACTTTCAGGTCAGCCTAGTAAGGGATTTTGTTTGGATTAAGGACTAATCTGTGTTCTGGAGCAAGGGTGGTCCTTCGAAACATGAGGTAATTGAAAGGACACTTCACAGAAGAAGCGCAGCTGCCTACAGGGCACAAGAGTAGACAAATAGTTTCCAGTGGACTGTCTCCACTAGCTTTCTCTGGCACAAAGAGGCTGAACATGCTGAGAGAGGGAAGACGCGGATGAAGCCATCTAATGGTTAATGTCATTAATTCTCTCCAAAATGTCGTGTCATGGAGAATGGCTCCAGGGTTATTACAACAAAATTATTTCATTTCTGTTGGTTAGGAACATGGAAAATATTGTTGCATTATCACTCATCTGTGTTTTTCCTAGAAAATACTGTTGTAACTAAACTCTATAGGACTTTACAAAACTGAGTTCTGTTCAAGTGCTACCTTGTCAAAATGTGAGATTCTGCAAGAAAATCAGCTTTATTAAGAGAGAGAGAAATGTAACACGGATTAACTTGAACGAAATTATTTCTAGTTTTCTGAACCTGTCAAGTTCATAGGATCACAGGATAACTCAAGTTGGAAAGAACTTCAAGGAGGTCATCTAGTCTGACCTCGAACCAGGGTCAGCTGTGAGGTCAGACGAGGTTACTGGGGGCTTTACCCAGTCTGGATTCTTGATTCTTCAGGATCAAGTGCTTAATTCTGAATCCTAAGTGAGAATGAGTGAGGACAGAGGACCTTCATGATACCAAATAATCAGGAGATTGCAAAGTGACTTTGCAGCTGTTGTAGCTGTAACTTGGACCATCACACTGCCCATCCTTTGGGTTAGTAATTTGATTATGAAACACTAACACCAGTGCAAGAGCCATTCATCTAGACCAAGAGACCACTTAAAATGGAGAAAAGTTCTAATTCATGGTCGTAAGATTCTGAGGGCCTTTTAAGTAATTTTATCAAGTGGATTTCACTGTGACTTCAGCTGAATTTAAAATGAACATCTAGCAATTATTTCAAGGCTTAAAACGGTGTGGCTGAGAATTACATGGCCTAAGTTTCCTTGCAAAATTGAAAGTATCATATTTTTCAGGTTATTTAGCCTGTATTATTTACCACCCAAAACCCCGCAACCCTGCACTTTGATAGCAACGTGGATTATATTGATGTGCAAGAATACAAGAAGTCTGGTGAATGGAGTCTTTCCTTCTGCCCTTTGTGGCTTTGATTTCTATCTGATTTCTATTCAGTCTGTGAATAATTTGAACAATAACATTGGATTTTTTTGAAATACCCATTCTATCAGAATGGAGGGTTATATGCCTGAAAACATGGCATGCTTCTGGTGTGAAACTAGCTGCTTAGCTTCTCCCAACTCAACTTCTCAGTCTAGCCAAGGATGAAAATGTTAGCCTACCTTTTGGAAATGTTACAAAGCTAAGTGGCTTGCTTTACATCGTGCAGCACCTTCCATGTAAGGAACCCAAATGGCTTTTTAATAATATAAGCCTTCTTGCTTTACAGGAACAGTGACTAATGACTAAGACTATCCCAGTGGGAAGGAAGGAGAAATCAATGATTATTCCTCAGGAATACTGAAGTGCCCCTGGAATAAGCCAACATTCTTCAGTAATGATCACCAGTAACTCTTTATACTCCAACAAACTGTTTCTGTACATGAAACAAAGTTCTGTTGCTTGTTTTGTATCGTGTCTGGAAAGTGCAAGGAAGAGATCTTCTGGGAAATAAATAAAAGAAAAATGGCTTTCTCTGGTGTGTTGACTTTGTATGTGAGTGGGAGAGAGAGAATGGAAGGAGAGGGCTTTATTTTGAGGACCTTGCAGCTGTGACCACCTGGGTAAAAGCCACTGTGAGAGCTGTTCAGAAAAGACAGCCGTCGTATGTTCCTCTCCACTCTTGAAAGGCAACCCCCATCTAACATACAGTTCAAAGAAGCATTCCCACCTCATAAATCACCCACTAGACCCCTGCTGCTTGTGCCAGTGTTTGGAGAGGAATATAAATACTCCTATGTCCTGTTTGTACAGTTGCCCTTTAAAATTGGAATTTTATCCTCTCCAACGAGGCAGAATCCAAAAGGGCAGATCCCAACTGTGGGACTGATGCAGCTAGCCAGTGGTGTTTCTTGGAGCTTTGAGTCATGCGGTGACCCAAGTTTGAAACTTCCTCGCTCTAGTGGGCGAATTAAACAAATGCACATGCCATCTGGCTCTGAGCTAAGGTTGATTGCTTTTTCACCCCTCTTCCGTGGGAGAACGTAGAGGTTTCAGTGTCTGGGACTGGGTCACAAATATTTAAAGCTTTCTATTACCTTGGCAAGTCACTGGTTCAGGTACTCCCTTCTACTTTACATTCACCCCAGTCCTTGTAATTACTTGTTGGCGTGTTGTCTGCTGTTCTCCTGACTTGAGAGGTTGTCTTCACCACTTCTTTATTCAGCACGAATTTCTAGCTATTGAGATGGCTCTCAAGGGCCTCTTTTCTTTCTCTCATGCTTGCTGCATATTGTCCGTGTCACACAAGATGTAAATGCACGTCTTCCAAGACAGGGAACGGTATAGATGGATATGAAGCTTTCCTTTATCAAAAGCCTGCTCTGCTGCATAGTGAGCGCTGGTGGATGGAAGAATGACAAAAAATTCCTCTCCAGAAAGGAAAACACAATGGAAAACAAGTTGCGCAATATTTGTTTTTTTAAACCATGCCAAAAAAGGAAGGGGATGGGCTGAGGGGCAGTCTTCTGAGTTCAGAGAGCTTGAGAAACTCCTTATCTTAGTGAGCAATGGGACTCAGATTTGGTCTGGGTGCTCCAGCTGTCCTACACCCCTTCATCCCCTTGGGCACTCATGTGTGGATCTTGGATACTGAAGAAACATGTTGAGCTGTGCCCAGAGTCAACAGAAGCTGAAGAGCTTGCCTAGAGCATTGGACTTGTGAAATAAAATAGCTTTAATGCCAGAGCAGCAGTAAAGACTGTCAAACCATGATACCATCCAGGACCATTGCTTGAGCATGTCCTTGTTTTTCCACCTCCTCCCTTGCCGGACTGCATTCATCAGTCAGGTCAAAACAGCTTATTGGAAACAGGATCTCTTTCTTTCTTCCCAATTTTGAATCATTTTATCTGGCCCCAATTTTTAATTTGAACTATGTACTTTGGAGCCGTAGCTCCTCTGTGGTTTGGAAAGTGTTTTTATTGAGTTCTGTGTGTGTGTGTGTGCTGCGATGCTAGCAGTCTGGTAAGCCAGTGGGTTCAGCTGGAGAGAAGAGCATCAACCTGGGTAAGAAACAGGAGAACCAAAAGTGGGAGCAATGCTCTGAGTAAGTCAACATGCAGAAAAAGCTTTGGCTAGTGTGGTGCCATTGGGACCACAATGATGGGTTCCAGTTTTATTTAGTGTAATGAGTTGTCCTGCCCTGCTATGCTCTGCTTTAGTTCAAATATGACTTCCTAGAGTTAGTTAGGATGATCTACTGTGACCTGTGATCAAAGGGTTCTGGGAATTCGCAGTAGATATCAATTCACAATGTGTCCTTTATTGCGATGGAGAATCATCAGAACAAATGTTCTTGCTCATTAATACGAATTCCACTAGGGTGAGTGTGGAAAAATTGCACAATTTAAAAAGTGGAATTTAAAATTTGTCACTGGTCTTTAAATGAGGTAAGAACTTAATTTTTTTGTTTTTCACAGCTGCCTTGCTTGTTGTTGTGCATATATAACTAGCATGTAATTGGCCTGTATTTGTTTTGGTTTAATTAAAGTTGTATTACTCAAAACCTATTTTTGAACCTGTCCATGTAAGCTGTGCAAAATGTCTCCTGGTGAGGACAAGTCTCCTGTTTTCCCTCTGTGGGAGTGAGACCTTACTGTTCCCAACTGAGGCTGGAAAAGAAACAGTTTCCTGCTGCTTGATTTCTAATTACATAAATGGAAGGGGGAAAAGTGGAAATTCTAAGTACCAAAAGGCATGTTAAATTTAGTAGAATACACTCATCTGGAAACTATCACATTTTTCCTTTTTTCTTAAGCCTGCTGAAATCATTGCTTCGTCTAACTGTAGCGTGATTTGGATCAGGACCAAAAAGTGCAAACAAGATAGGCCTAAAAAATCAGGTGTCCCTACCCAAAACTTAATGACACCTTTTAGTGGAGAAGTTGCTCTATCACCCTGATGCAATTTTAATAGGATAATGGTGAGTAGACAGGGAGTAAAGAAACCATACCACTATCTAGAAAGGGAAAAAAAGAAGAAGCTGTTTGCTGAATAGAACTGGTTTTGGACATTTAACAACTCCCTGAGTGCTCGACTGGCCACAAATCTGACTCTTAACAGCTTGATTAGATGTCTGCTGAGGCTTTGAGATGAATAAACAAGTCACGGAAAAGCAGAGACTGCAGGAAAAAGAAATATCAAGCTGCTTTTCTATTGTTTATCTGAGTTCTTCATGTTTGATCAAGATACCGTCATTTCTTTGTGTTTCGATCGTGCCTAGGAGCTGTAGCCAAGATCAGGACCTTGCTGTATGTGGTGCTGTACACACAAATAAAAACTAGTCTCTGCTCTGGAGAATTTACAAACTAAACAGATGGGATTAAAGGAGGTAGAAAGGTTTATAATTCCCATTTTAAAGATGGGAGAAGCTGGAGCCAAGGTCGGTGATAAGTCTTGGAGGGAATGTGGCATGCAGCTGGGACTCTTGAGCCACCGACTCGATCAGCCATCCTCTCTGACTGTGTTTTTCACTTGGCAGGTCATGGAGTCTCAGGGAAGGCTGCCCACTTCGTAGTCTGGGAGACTCCAGAAGGGTATGTTCTGCAACCATTTGCTATCCTCAAATTGCCCCAAATTCTTAATGGCAAATCTCTATAAGTTAGGAATTCTGTTCTATTGACCAGGAGGCGATTGCTTATAGAATCACTAACAGGTGTAAAACATCAAGATCCTCAGTATTGACTTTGGTGTAAATCTGAATCTGATAAGGAGAGAAAATATTTAAATATATTAGCAGTTCTTTGCATCACAGCCACATCTACGAGCCCTTCTCTTGGAACAGGGGGAGAACGTAAGTGTAATACTAGAAGATAGTCACTGCCTTAGTAGATCTATCTTAAATATTAGGTGACAGATTGAGATAGACAGAGGATATCAAGGAGACAGAATCGTTCCAGTAGTGGGAACACAGCAGTGATGGCGTAACTCAACTCTTTCAGGGGGTTCACATGAATGATGAAGGAGAAGGAATTGGCTTGCCAGATATTTTTATTGGGTTCCCTTTGAGTTTTTGCAAAAGAAATCACAAAAGTGCTTGTTTGCAAATGCAAGCAGCGGGTGCCTGAGCGGACTAAAGGAGACTGTGGTTCTTGTGGTAGGGATCTACCCCAAGGTGCAGTTCTTATGCTCTAGCTAGAAGGGACAGGCTAGTGGCAGGGCTGGGGAACACACGCTCAGTGACCTGCTAGAAAAACCACTTTTTTCAGCAGTGTTCTGAATCGGCGAGGCGTTGCTGACCCTTCCTTTTACTCTGAGCTGGCTGGCTTCTGTTGCTTTTCCCCCCTACCACACACATCTCAACAGTAACATATAAACGAACTTTTTCCTCGTCTCGCACCCCACTCCTGCCTTTGTAAACAGGACCGGTGCAAATTTTGGCAAGCCAGCTCCAGTAGGCAGCTGTATGCAACACGTCTTAACTGCTCGGAGAGTCCAGCCTATGGCCCACCCATGGTGAAATGCTTAACTGAGATTGAAACGAAAGGGGAACATAGTTTATGGAAATTCAGCTGTGGATTGCTGTTTCTCTTGTGACTTCTGGCTGTCAGCACTTAGCTGTACAGCGTTGCTAGCGATTTAGAGCTGGATGTTCCTCGTGGTGGTGGATACCCACCTCCTGCAGCTTATAAAGATGCTGAGAAAGTCGTTGGTGGCTCATAAATCACTCTTCATCTATTGTCTTTATTGGTAGTGCCTGTAAAGGCTCCAGCTCTGGGTTAGGAGTGTCTGCCCCTTCCTAGAAAAGGTCATGCCCTTATCAGTTTAAATTCAGTTCATAAATCTCCTGTTGTATGAAGGAGTGTGTTTCTTTTTAGAGGGTATTCTTCCTCCCCCTCAGTGCTGCACTTGAAGTCGTTAGTAGTGACTAACAGCTTAACCCAAACCCATTACTAATCCCATGAGCCATGCATTCCCTGAGGATTTAGGAGTCAAGTTGTGATAGACAGCACCTCTGTTTTCTCCCCTGTAAAATGGAAATGGTGATGCTCTCTCCCCTTGGTCATGGCTTTAAGACCTACTTCATTCCCAGGTAAAATTCAGCTCTGTACAGTCAGCCAGCATATATTATGGGACACCACAGCTGCGCTGGGTTGAATCGCACTCCACAGTTCACAAAATACTTTGGCTTCTGCTCTTTGAAGATGCTGGAATAACAAGGTAAAGGTGTGCTGTGGAAACGGGAGTATTTCATCATTTTCTTATCCACCCTTTCATTTTTTCCAGTCACCTGCTTTGTCACCGAACTCCTGCACCTTCTCTCTAGATCAATGTGCACAGAACAGTAAGGGAGAAGGGGCTGTAGTATCAATGGAGGAAGCAGAAAAGAGGCTTAGGCTGAACATCACTGTCGTGGGTTGTCTCATCGCTCTCTTTAGCAGCCTCTTTCTAGGTTCAAAGTTTTGACTGAGGCATATAGGAGAGGAAAATCATGTCGTGTCCTGATGGCCCCGTCTGATTTGCAAAACAATGGTGC